TTATTCACGTTCACTTTTTTCCCTTGGCTCCCCTTGAATATACCACTGTGATTTCCAGCTTCTCCTTTGGGGAATATATATGTATTTCATATATTTAGCTAAATGGGTCATTTTCCATCCCTGTTGACGCGTCATCACTGACTCGCTCACGCCAGCGAAGAACCTGACCCAATATATTTTCCCTCTAGGTATGTATTACACAGCACTACGATTCTGTAAAGCAAGCTTCGGGAGGTAGGTAGCAAACTAATTCCAGGAAAAATAAACTTGTGGAAAGGCACGCTGTGCCGAGACAGGGGCTGCACTGTGCCGCCCTTCCAGGCGGTTTCTGTATATTTTAATTTTGTATTTGCAAATACAGCGTCTGCAGGGCAGAGCTGGAAAAGCTCCCTTAGGACACGTGAACTGGCGTTTTCGGCTCTCAGCCTCAAGTTTCCACCTTTCCCGGCGGGGACGTTTACTTGAGAGTAGTTTTTGTTAATTGTTACTTGTTGCCAGAGCCTAAAGGGTCGTTTAATCACTGAGTGATGCTGCACCTTCTATCAGCCTGCGCACAGCTGTGCCTAAAGCACTCCACTTGCGCCCAGGATGTACTCACAGCATCTCTGCATCGCTTAAAAAACTCTCTAAGCTATGGGGGACATTTACAGCTCAGGTGTGCCCAGGGTACTTTAAGAGTTGGGAGTTTGGCAATATCAAATTCCCCTAAAATAGCACGGCCACCAAACACACGGGGCCGTACAGCTTCTGTAAGCAGTTCCCGAGGAAGGTGTTTACTAAAAGCACGTCCTCAAAACTGTTTTGCCATGCTCGCTTCACCATCTCAAGGCTGGAACGGTGCTGCTGTTCCTCAGCAGGAGGTTTCTCCCCTTCCCCAGCCAGGATTTTTGGCTGTGGTGGGGAACAGCCCTGCGGCCACAGGGCTCCAACGCACCCGGGACCACGGCTTTTCCCAAACCAGCCTGGTCACGGAGCAGGGTTCAAAATACCCGCCGGCCGCAGCGCCAGGGACGGCAAAGGTCCTCGTTTCACGCTCGCAGCGCTGATGGGCGGTCAGCCCTGCGGAGAGAGGTACCGCGTCACCGCGGCATCGCTCCCGCACCCAGCCGGGCTCCTCTGCATCCCGCCCACCCCGGAGCACCCTGCTCACCCGCGCCAAGGCACGACGGTGATGCGGGCACCGTGGAAGCGACCGTGTCTGCTTTGGGGGTTCGCCTGGTCCGTGCCGGGCTTGCTACTTCAAAGGCACTTGGTAAGGACCATGCGGAAGGTGTCGATGAGCCAGCGCTTAAAAAAGCAGCAGCAGCAGCAGCAGCACCGAGACTGAGATTAGGCACAAAGCGAAGCGTCTGCGCGAGTCACCAGGGCAGCGCGAGCGGATACCAAGGAGAGGGACCGGGCAGCCCCGGCAGCTGGCCCAGATACAGCTTCAAATCCATGTGGCACTTCTCCCGGGCAATACGCTTTACCAAGAAAGGCTGTATCACGGTCCCTGACATCCAGAAAGGGAAACCGCGGGGCAGGGAGCAGCACAGGGACTCGC